TCTGAGCTGGACTTACTTAATTCTTACAATCACTCTCAGGGTGGATTGAGCCAGGCCAGCCTAAGGTTGAGAAGAGAATTAAATGGGCAACACATTTCCAGCAGCTGCTGAACAAGCATCAGCTGCCTTCCCTCTGCTAACACGTGGGCACGTCTTACTGTATGTGTTGTGTGTGAGTTTCCTGTCTCTGAAGCAGTTTCCGAATCTTCTTTAAAGTGAAAGAGCGAAAGCAAAACCGTCTACATAGTCCAAACTTACAAGTAACTTTAGCTTTCTTTCATCTTCAGAGATTGCGTAATGAACCGGGGAATGCAAAAATAGCAACGAACTTGCCGCAACAAGTGAAGGAAACTGAATGCAAGTTGCCAAACTGGATTTGGAGAATTGAGGTTGGGATTCCCCTCTGACCTAGCTTCTTGGCTGAGTTGAGTGCACAGAGCAGAGGATTCCTCCGACTGCCTGCAAGATGCCTGCGTCATTCTGGTGGAAACTTTTAGCTCCTAAACTCAAGGGATAAACTTGAGTTTAAACTCAAAACTGTTAGCTCCTAAACTCAAGCAAGAAACCAGTGGAGGAAGGGGCGTCCTTGTAGACAGCTGGCGTGTGAGCCAAGTATGAATGCTTCTGTCTGGAACTCTGGGATATTTGTTGCAACGCACTTGGCCCCGTCATCCCAGTGAATGGCTATTTCTCCTCTCCCTTGTCCAGTGGTTGACCTGGCACTAAAATGCCTCCTGAACAGCTCTCTTGGAACTGCCTCATCTTCCTGACCACAGACCCAGAACATCAGGAACTAATCTTCTAACCAGGTTCAAATAGAAGAGCTAATAAGTAAGGAGTACTTAGTAACTGCCTGGTACCATTCTGAGCACCTTACATAAATTAAAGCAATTAATCCTCACCACAGTTTTATGAAGTGGTTTTATGATGATCTCAGTTTAACAGTTAAGGAAACTGGACCCAGTTCTCCCTCCCTCTGGTACGAAATTTAACAATAGCATCCTGGTCTCCAAGTTTCAGCAGGAGCATTCAAGGCCTGGTGTAACTTTCCCATCTCTCATTTCAAGATCCCTGGTAGGGAGGAAAACCTGGTCTTGCTCCTAGCCCTTATTTCTTTTTTATTTCTTATTTTCTAAAAATGTCCAATTTTGTCAACCCTTTGATTTAGCTCTTGCTTCCAAATGGCCTGCACAGTGTCTCTGGCCCTTTTCTCATTGTCCAGTTCTTTAAGTGTCTTTCTATATCCATCTATCAGTCCTAGAGTACCCATTCTTTGATAATGTCTCTCCATTTTACAATGTGGCTCCAGGCCTATGCGTTTGCCTTGCAAATACAGTGCTTCCCTTAGAACACTTATCATTCTGTTGTGTAAGTGATAGCTAATTTTTGTCTCCTCCAGCAGATTAGACTTTTAAGTCTGAATTTCGTATGCCCAGTCATTAGCACAGCGCCCAGCCCATGGTAGGAATTTAAGTATTGTTGACTGAATAAATGCTATGCTAGGAATATGTGGTTTGATGAGCTTCTGACTATCAAATTGCAAGGGGTTGTCTCAGCACTGTTTGCTGAGGGTTCATTTCATAAGTTCTCCTGACAAGAATTCAAGCACCTCATATATTCCTGAGCACATTCCTAGGCAATGTAAACAAAGGGAGAAAAATAAAAATCAAAATAGAATACAGATTGGGATTGACATATATACACTAATACGTATAAAATAGATAACTAATAAGAACCTGCTGTATAAAAAATAAATAAAATAAAATTCAAAAAAGAAATAGAATACAATTTATTTTGATAAAACTTAGATACTGTTTTAGACAAGTTTAGCTCCAGTGCATGAGGATCTTCTTAGACTCTTTTCAGCATGGTGTGCTGTCCAAAAGAAATAGAAATTCATTATCAAAAGTCTTTAAAGAACAATATAGGTGCTCACTGAAGTGTCTTGAAGAGAGAGCAAAATGGGAAATTATGTCATAAAACTATTCAGTAAAACATGTTTAGTTCCTATTTTAATAAGACATGGAAAAGATGGAAATTTGATCAATTCACTTTACAAGGCTATTATAACCTGGTTAACAAAATCAGAGGAGAAAATCATAGGACATTCATTATGGTCACCACTATATCCTGAGGGCAACATACAACCTGGCTTAGACGATGTTTATATTTACTTCTAACTAGAGTATCATAATGACTCTAACTAGTGTATCATATCATTTACATAATGATGTAAATGAATTGCACCATTCTTTAATCAGATTGCACATTCAGGTTTGGTGTTTCTTTTTTAAGAATAAACAAATATAAAAATTTTTCTATGGTGAAAATTTACTTAATGCACAAAGCAAAAAATAAATAGACTAAATACAAAGAAAGTGTTTTTTCTCTTAACCACAATTTAAAGGTGCACATAATATTATACAAACAAAAAATAAGTTAAAACTTTATAAATAGTTAAATAAATAAATTTTTAAATAGATAAATAAATCATCTGTAAGGAACTAGTGCCTGCAGAGTTGAACATGATGTTGCTTAATATTCCTGAAAACATGTGACAGATTGATTCAATTCAGGGCATGATGAGAGCAGAAATGAGAGTCTTTGACATGGCAGCACAGGTGGAAGTGTGGTCTTGTTAGTCACTGAGAATCATTTCGGTGTTGAACCAGGTGTGTGTCATTCCTTCCTCCTGAGTCTTTCTTACAAGTTCGTTGATGAAGAGAAGGATCTCATGACTTCTGCTCTGACAATCTCCCAGGCACAAGGGCTGTACTTCTTCTCTTGCAGATAGACAGTGATTCTGTGGAAGTATTTCCTCACAGCCAGGATGGAGTCCTCCTTCAGCAGGGGAGTCCCTTCCAGCCCCGCCTCCTGCATCAGACAGGCTTGCAGGTCAGTGAGCTGCTGATAAAGTGCAGTGCAGAACTTGTCCAGGAGGGTCTCATCCCAAGCGGCAGCCGAGCCCTCTGTGCTGAAGAGCTGGAAGGTCTGCTGGATCATCTCATGGACGACAGCGATGGCTTGAGCCTTCTGGAACTGGTTGCCTCCAAACGCCTCCTGGGGGAATCCAAAGTCATTTCTGTCCTTCAGGCAGGAGAAGGGGGAGATTCTCCTCATCTGTTGCAGGAGCATCAGGGCCCTCGTGTTAGCCAGGCTGTGGGTCTGAGGCAGGTCGCAGCCCAGAGAGCAGTTGGAGTTGCAGCTGAGCAGCACCAGGGCCAGGAGTAAGGACAAGGTTGGGGACATCGGGGACCCTGCAGATGCTGCCGGCCTGGCTGAGGTGGGGACTCTGTGAACCCTGCTCTCTAGGTTCTCTGAAGACCTTCCTTCAGGCCTGGGTCTTAAATGGGAGCGAATTGGTTTCCATTTTCTGGATGTTCCCTCTTACTTTCTACTTCTGTTTTTGCTTTTCATTTTGCACTCTCCAGATAGGTTAGGGCAGCGTTTCTCAACCGCTGTTTTTCATCCTTGCCTCCCCTTCTCCTGCCCACAGAACCTTTCTAGATATTTTTTTTCCATACGGCCCCCCTATGAAATTTTGATACACAGATATACTGTGTACATCGGTATGTACTCCATGCATATCTCGACTTTATAAATAGAAAAAGAAAGTGAAAAGTTTTTTCTTTTTATTCGATGCAGGGGTGAGTATGACAAAAATATTTAGGCTAAAAATTAGCTGTAAAAGCTACTGCAATTAATTTAACATTTTGGTTAAGTGTGCAGAATGACTTTTAATGTAATACATTTACTTAATAAATAGGAATGTATCAAATTACATATTCAATAAAAATTTATACAAATACTTCATAAGAATACCAATGTATAGATATATTTAAAAATCTATCAAAACTGCTAAAACCATTGAAAATTTAAATGATTTTCTTAACATTTATTTTTAAGTAATTCTTAGTTTTGATTCATATCATAAAATGATTTCTAACTTCACTAGCTGCTAGATATTCCTCTAGATATTGTCAACAACTTTTTCTCTTTAGGACTAGACGTAATTATTGATCTCCTAGATAACTTTTTTAGAATTAAATAATAAAATACAACCTATTTGTGCTTAATTCCCGATGCCCACATCACACTGAGGCTCAAACATAAGCAAAATCCACAAGACAGACAAGGACACCTCATAAGTAAGCAGAGGGCACCTCTCGCATTATGACTTTGAGTTCAATCATATGATGGAGAGAAAGTCCTGTAATGAAACATCAAGCCACCATGGCTTGTAGCACTGATCCTGCATATTGTGTATCTTCCACGCACTCAATGTCAATGCCTCTCGTCTCATACACAAGAAAACCCAAAGAGAAAAATGAATACAAAGGATAGGGTTGGATAGGGTTGAGCTTTGGAGTGCCACCCACCATTGTAGTAGCTAAGATTTGTTCGCACCCCTAAGAACTAATGTTTGCACCCGTGGGAGCGATCTGCTCCCAGATGATTTAGGAATCATCATCGATTTGAATCTTTCTCTGTAGTTTTGCATTGAATTTCAAATTCCCCAAAGGACTGTCAGAGGTTCCAATCCAAGCCTATTCTTTTCAAACAAAAGAAAACCATCTTTGTAATTAATTGAGAACTGGATAAATATTGATTGGGATCATGGAAAGAATTCACTTTCAACTCTGATCATGAATTCTTTTATTTTGCAGTGGATGTTCTGTGGCCGCAGCCCCCTCTAATTCCGATCTTTCAATAAATAATAGGTATGTGACTATCTTTGGCAAATCAGCTCTGTAGCAACTGGACTCTGTCGTATTCTCTGTGGTATCCTCGGCACCACTCCCAGTGTAATCACACAACAGGTAATTTTTTTGTTTTTGTTTTTGTTTTTGCGGTACGTGGGCCTCTCACTGTTTTGGCCTCTCACATTGCGGAGCACAGGCTCCGGACACGCAGGCTCACCGGCCATGGCTCACGGGCCCAGCTGCTCCGTGGCATGTGGGATCTTCCCAGACCGGGGCACGAACCCGTGTCCCCTGCATCGGCAGGCAGACTCTCAACCACTGCGCCACCAGGGAAGCCCGAAAAGGTACTTTGAACTAAAGCAGTTTCTCAGATGTTCTCCTCCCACTGGAAGGCAGTTACGAAGGACCAAGCTATTTTCCTTTATCACGGTCATATTTGCTGGGATTATAATAGACAGTGGCTGGTATTCCCATTCTACTCCTACTGGTATCAGTCATGCCTACTGAGTTTGTTGCTAAAACCACTAGGATTCTCTTTCCTTTAAGGTGCCTATGGCTCTGGGGATTCAAGTTGTAAGAGCAGCACAATTTTCAGCCTTTGCCCGGCACTCTATTAAACTCAGGAGGTTGGCCTCGTCGCTAATTTGTCCTCTACTAGGTCATGACAGAAAATAACCAGCTTGATGTCACATACAGAGCCACGTTTCTGAACTCAAAGTCTCCCTGATTCACACAGGTCACAGCAACCAGACAATTAACCACGTTACTCTTCGGTGGATCTTTACGGATGTGGCAATGACTACCTATATCCTGAGATTCTTTGGAGACTCCTCACAAAGACTGATGAATGATCCTTTTCCTCCTGTGTCTTCATTCCCTTTCAAGGGACGATGGGGTCCATTTCAGTTTGATTTCCAAATTTTGACACATAATAATTAAAGCGTTACTGCAGGTTGGAAATCAAGTGTTTGGATTCTGAGTCCTCGGTCTGCTCTTTTGGCCTGGTAAATGGCTCATTCTTCTTTAGTTACATGAATATATTCTCTCTTCTGGATGCCAAGACATGTAGCCTTCAATGCCCTTTCTGGTCTGAATGTTCCCGTCCCCACAAAATTCATATTTGGAAGTCCTAACCCCCAAAGTGATGGTATCAGATGGCGGGCCCTTTGGGACTTGATTAAGGCGTAAAGATGGAGGCCTCACGAATGGAATTAGTGCCCTTATCAACGAGGTCAGAGATAAATGCCTCCCTCTCCTGCTGTATGATGATACAAGGAGAACTCTGCAGCGTGAGACCTGAAGCAGGCTCTCACCAGAACTGGACCACGCCGACACCCAGATCTTAGATTTCCAGACTCTAGAACTGTGAGCAATACATTTCTGCTCTTTACAAACTACCCAGTCTATGCTCTTTTGTTGAAGAAGCCCAAATAGTAAGACATGACCTGACCTATTGTGTCCTCAGAATACCTCCCAGAAGTCTGTAAAATACCTAAAGCAAGAGGCACCATCTTACCCAACCCCATTTCTTAGACAGCTAGTCCAGTCCCTGTCATTTCAGGAGCTCAATCCATACTCGTGAAGGGACCAGTGATGATAGTAATAGGAGAAGGAACAATACCAACATATATTAGATAGATATGATATGAGAGGACGATAATCTACAGAGACTTTGGAAATTCTTCATAGTTCTACAAGGGAAGTGATAATGGAATATTGTGTGAGATACTTTTTTAAAGATCATTTGCAGGAATATTTTCTTCTTCAAGTTTGTATTTTCAATATTTAGAAGATCAGGATGAGAATCATGGGCCTGGACGCAAATGGAAGAGTCGCTCTCCATTTTTTCCTCAGTCATCCTCAAGTACTTACAAGGAGCTGCCTGATCATACTTTTCTCGTCTCCCTCAGGCAATAAGGAAACAACTTGTGTCTACATTTGTGGATATTTTCCTCGTAGGCTATGCCTTTGGGCATCAATTTGAATGCTTCTTTCCAACAGTCTATGATGCTGTGAACTCTGAGTGACATCCGTGTGATCTTCCTCAAGCTGAACTTGTGAAATAAGAATTTGGGTCTGATCGTGGGTTTGTTTCTTTTTTTAAATTTTCTTTATTTCAGCAAATGAACAATAAATATACCTGAAATCATAATACCACTGAGTCTGAGAATAAATATTCAAACTTGACTCTTTTCTTTCTTTTAAGGCAGAACTAGAGGATGAGATATTTTTTAACTTTTTATTTTATACGGGAGTATATTTGATTAACAATGCTGTGCTAGCCTCAAGCGTACAGCAAAGTGATTCAGCCACACACATTCATGCATCCATTCTTTCTCAAACTCCCCTCCTATCTAGGTTGCCACATAATATTGAGCAGAGTTCCCTGTGCTACACAGTAGGTCCCTGTTGGCCATCCATCCCAAATGTAGCAGTGTGTACATGTCAATCCCAAACTCCCCAACTATCCCTCCCCCACCCTTCCCCCCGGTAACCATAAGTTTCTTCTGTTGGTCTGTGGGTCCGTTTCTGTTTTGTAACTAAGTTCATTTGTATCCTTTTTTTTAGATTCCACATATAAATGATATTTCTCTTTCTCTGTGGGTCAGATTGTTTTTTAATGAAGTGTGTACAAGCAAGAACATTAGTTGTTCCCCTCCACCCCACCCAGAACTTCATTAGGACAAATAGTGTAAAGATGAAAAGTGGTCTTATGCACTGAACTTGTCTCCTCGTCTATTAATCATCCAATAATTTCCCAACTTCCTTGCAGTGAGATTTCCACGAGGATAAATCCAGGCCACGTATTGTGAGCAGAAGGGCTCTTGCCCTGTATAGTCCTGGCCCTTGAAAACGTCCCATGTGATGCACCGGACTTTTTCCCTTTACCACTGAGTGGAATAGACTCAAATACTGCAGAAAAATTTGCAGTCACCTGTTGATGATGGAAAAATCCACAAAACAGGGGGTACCCATGTCCCCGACTCACTCTTTGGAGAGCAACTTAGAACATCCATCTGATCAGGAATGCCTGCCTTGTGTTCTTATACCAGGGAAAGATAAGATTCTATTATGATCAAATTCCTGACAGCATTCTCTTTACCCGTTACAGCAGTCAGCATTAAGTTAACTGACAAATATCTTTAACACCACACTATCCAAAAAACCTTTCTATACTTCATGTGTTGAAAATAGCAAATACCTCTCCCAAAACTTAAAGTGATCTTTTAAATTACGTTATAAAATTATTTATACAAGAAAAGAGATTGTGTTCTGTCAAAACCTTTTTTAAAATCATGATTTTCTTTTCAGACATTTTTCAGCCTGTGAGGAAACACAAGTCGAGATTGCTTTGGACTTGAACACTAATGTAATTGAATGAGAAGTGTCACGAGTATAAAAAATATTCTGTATTTGTTGACATTTCTTTGAGGATTCTTACATAAGGGAAAGGCACCTTTTAATTTCCACTCTGACAACCTCCCAGGCACAGGGGCTGTATTCCTTTGCCTTCAGATAGACATGGATTCCATGGAAATACTCCCGGGCAGCACGTCCCAAATCTCGACAATCCAGATTGTCTTTTTTCATCTGCTCCAGTCGGTGCAGCCTCAGATGAAGGCTAGAGAGAAGTTTATCGAGGAGGGTGTTGTTCCAGGCAGCACGGCTGTCCTCTGTGGTGAAGAGGTTGAAGATCTGCTGGAGCATCAGATGGTGGTGACAGGTGCCTTGAGTCACCTGGATTGGGGTGATATTCTCTCTTTTCCAAGGAAATTTGAAGTCGGTTCTGTCCTTTAGGCACCACTGAGAGGGGATCCTTTGCATCTGTTCCAAATGTTGGAAGACGTCCTTGTTTTCCTGGCTATGGCTTCTAGGCAAGTTCCAGCCAAGAGAGTAAGCAGGGATAGAGCAGAGCAGCACTCCTGCCACTAGCAAATAGATCTGGGCCATTAAGAATGAGTGATTCACTAGACGGCCGCCAGGAGAGGCGTGGGCACCGCCAAACAATTAATTGGAGGGAAGCTTCCTTCCCTGGAACTGTGGACAGCGTCCTTCCCTAGGCGGCCGGTAGAGGGCGCAGGGTTTGTTTGGGAAACGCCGACTGTTGAGTTTGCCTTCTGCAGCTGTCTCCTGCAGCTCGAGAGACAGGGCGAAAAGTAGTCCCTGAGGCTGCTTTAATAATCAGCATAGTGCGCGAAACACCTTGGTTTTCTCGGTGCTGAGTGTTGAAGAGGAAGCCTTGTCGCGGCCTCGCCAGAGAATTTTTGTGTGGCTGGGAACAAGAACTTTGCATTTTCAGGCTTCCCCTGAGTTTTGCGCTTTATTTTCTCACAGAAACTTGAGCGAGGCAATTTTTGGGAAAGAAGCCTTTTTCTGAGCGGTCTGAGGTGGGAAATCAGAGCGATTCCCAGCCGCAGAGAAAGGGGAGCCGATTTTTCCGATTCGGGCTGGTTTCTGGCGCGAGACAGCGAAGGCCCAGAGAAAGGGGAAGGCGGCGGCGGCGATGGGACGACAGGACGGTGTTGGGGACGCCCTGAGGGGTGAGTCGGCGCGCGGCCACCACCGGGGCCGAGGACGCGGGAGCTGAGCGCCCCTGTAGATTCTCTGGGACTTCATGGAGTTTTTCAAGGATACAGCGTTAAAGTGAGGGAGAAAGTATTGAATATCTGAAAAGTAGGAATATTAAAAAATTCACAGCCTTTTTTTACATTTTAAAATTAATTTTATATTTAACTTAATTCATATGATATTTAAATTAAATATTTTAAATGTTTCATATTTTTATAAATTTATGTTAAAATATTTTCAATATTAAGCGTAGAATATTAAAATATATTTTCATATTAAAATATAGCATTTTATTAAACTTTATTTAAACTATATTGTCTTTATACTAAAGTAAGTATTTCATATAATTAATTATTTATTTATTTTAGGCTGGGTGTATTTATTTTAGGCTGGGTTCAGTCTTCATTGCGGTGCGCAGGCTTCTCATTGTGGTGGCTTCTCTTGTTGAGGAGCACAGGCTCTAGGTGCGCAGGCTTCATTATTTGTGGCTCGCGGGTTCCAGAGCACAGGCTCAATAGTAGCAGCACATGGACTTAGTTGCTCCACGGCATGTGGGATCTTCCTAGACCAGGGCTCGAACTCGTGTCCCCTGAGTTGGCAGGCGGATTCTTAACCACTGCACCACCAGGGAAGCCCCAAGTATTTAATATAGTTTTACTTTTCTATCTTTAATGGAAGCCAACTCATTAATATTGTCAAGATTACTTTTTCACTTGTTTTTAATTGAGGGAATTACCATGTTTGACAATTTCTAATGACCCTGTGATAGTCTTAACTGATTTTTAACTCACGTTCCTGAAATGTCTTTCCCAGGACCTCACCTTGACTATAAGGTTAGAAAGAAGAGTTGGTGTGTACGAGCAATTGAGGACATTTAGCAGGTCAGACTTTTTCATTTTTCTTTAGTAAGAATTTTATACACTAAGTGGAATTTGCCCAGATTTCATTTACATCATGAAGGCTTACTTTGTAAGACTGACAGGGCCATGCAAATGGAAGTCAGCTTCATTTCTTTACTTAAAAGTTTTATATTTTGTTCCTCGTGCATATTTTGGTATTAATTTTCATTTTAAAATGTTGCATTAAAACATCCTTTATCTTGATGACGTAGATTTGGTGCCTTCTTACCATTCGTGCTTAAGAGAAGTACTAGCTTAACGTTGCCCTAATGCTAACCCAGGAAATAGCTTTTGAATTAGAGTATTGTGCTGTTCCATGGCTGAAAATCTAGGAATGCTTTAATTCTCATCATCTCTCCCCCATATATATATTTCTTACCATTTTCCTGGTCTCTACAACATTATTTTAATGTCTTTTTTGAAAGGAAGGAAAAACCCTTTTGACTGCCTTCTGATTTTCTCAACTCACACCCCCTTGGCTATGGTAACCACAAATCTGATCATTTTCTCTGAGGTTATGTTTGTTTTTAAGGTATAATTTAATCTGTGTCTTAAAAATTAACACCAGAGGTGGTCTGAAACAAAATAAGGTGAGGAAAAGGACTATTTATCTCGTTTATACTAGTCACAGAGCAGCCTTTTTTTTTTTTTTCTTTTTTTTTTGTGGGAGGAGGTCAAAACACTTTCTTAGATGCTGCAAAGACCTTTAGGTGCCGTAGGATTTCTCTCCTTACTGTACGGGGCACTGCTCTAAGGGTGGAGACTAGGTCTCTATTCCTTCGCAGGCCTACAGGCAATCCCTCTCCTAGAGTTTGCATTTGGGGGCCTCAACATGCAGACCCCTGAGTGTTAAGGAACCTGTAGTCAGAGCTTCTCTTGGCTGGGCTGAGGGTGGACTATACAGGTTACCATTTGTTATATTAATACAAAAGGCTGCTATCATTCACTCTGTTCAAATTCTCAGCCTGTACTTTGCAAACTTTATTTTATTTGATCTAGGCAATGTCTTGTGTGACCACAACTAAAGTTGTCTCCATTTTTTAAAAGAGGAAATGAAAATCTGATGTCATTTAAATTCAGGAGCCCCAGATTTTTGTCAGAGTGGAGCCTTCTGCTGCTCCCAGGCCCTCGTCTTCATCAGCTCTGAGCACTGGCCCTCAGCTGCACTGAGCACGTGGTGCTTCCTTCATCCTAATCCTGCCTCTAAAGTCTGTCCTCCCTGCTCCCTGGAGGGCAGTCACCATCCCTGCCTCACTTTCCTGGAATCCACATTGCCAAGCGCATTGTCACATATATACGCAGTCAGAACATTTCTGGTGACGGAATGAAGAGAACTGCATGAATTCACCCTTGTTGTTCATTTTTATGTCACAATTATCTGTAAACTTTCAGAAAATGTGAGCTATGGTCCTGTAAAGAAATGTGGAAGAATTTAAATCTGATGTATGAGTCCCTTAGGAGGAGAATGCAGAGGGGTGAGGCTAGTTGTATTTTGGTGCAATTTAAGAAGTGGCAAAATAGGTACAGGGTCAAACCTCTAAGTATTCGTATTAGAACTGAAAAAGAGATATATTGAGACTCAGGTTTTTATTTCAACCTTGGGTCTCATTTAGATGAATACATCCTATTGGATTGATACTCTTTCATGTTCCAGGAGTGTGTTTAATTTCCAGTGTAATAAAAGAATTGAAGTTGTGACATTCTATGTTGCCCATAAATGGCTTATTTAAGAATCTCCTTTGCAGGCAGGTACCCACAGCAGCTGGATACAGGCTCCCACAGCCAGACACCTGCATCACCAGGCTCACCGGGGCCTGCCACCCTCCTCACTGAGGACACCCAGGATGATGTTCTCCAGCCCTGTCTGCACCCTTAGCTGTCACCTGGCCCAGAACCACAGCCTGCCAAAGCAGGAGACCCTCACAGTCCTGCCCCTAACAGGGAGAATCTTCTTTGTTTTCCTGCCTGAAGGACAAGGAGGTTTTCAGGTTCCATCAGCACCAGCTGGCTGACAGCCAGTTCCCAAACGCTCAGGCCGCCTCATTCTCCATGAGACGATACAGCACTTCTCCATCGTCTTCAGCACAAAGAGCTGAAATTCCTCAGTGGGCTTGATCAACAGTGGGCAGATCTGGAGACTAGTTTGGTGCAGGAGATGGAGAGGAAAAGACCCTGCTGGGCAATGAGGACTCCAGCCTGACTTTGAAGAACTTCCAAAGGACCAGGCTCGATCTGAAAAGAAAGTCCACAGCTGCTGTGCCCAGGACAATATGAGAGTGGAAGTTAAGGCGTGAAAATCAGAGTGTGCTTTCCCTGTATGTTCAACCTCAGAGAACGCAGGAGTGGGAAAAGGAGACCTGGACCCAATCTTCTACAATGGAGTCTTCTCTGCTTAGAGGTGGCCTCTAGCGCGTCCATATTCACTCCCTTCAATGACTTTTCTTCTGATTCAGTTGTAAATACATCGAGTCACCTCAGCACATTGTTTTTCAACAGTAAGTGGAACAATACTTTTGAATGGAGAGAAAATTTATTTTTAATTTGTAATAATTAGAATTTATTTCTCTATGATGATTGTTATATTTACCAAATTTATTCTTCATATTATGATATGGTCAGCTTTGTATCTTGTTTTCCTTTGCTTTGGGGGTGCAAAAGGTATATTTTAAGTGTTAGGTTTAACTCATACTCTTAAAGAAAATCAGAGTGTCCTTAAACCTTTAATCTGCGTTAAAATGCAACAGGAACATAAATAGTTTTATTCATTTCATTGGTCCTTAAAATATTTTGAAGTATCTCTGCTTTAAGGTTTTTACTTGTGTTTTTTAATATATTGGTAGATAAAACAAAGATATTACTTTCGTAATGGAGCACTCTGTCAGAGAAGACAGGCATTAAAGAGTAAAAAATTCGCTTGAAACCCTTTCTAGGTTATGAGGGAGATGCACAAGGCATTATGACAGGTTATAGCAGCTGGAGCTATTCTCTTTTACTTGTTCTTTCTTGGAGAAAGCATGTCTAATGGTTGCTGATTCAGTTTCAGCAGTTGCATGATCAATAAACTGTGAAATATATTATAGAATCATGGAATTTAAACTTCAACAAAGAAGTGTGACTATCCCTTGTATTGTTGACACTGTGGTGGGTGCCAGGTGCAATGAAAATAGTAGACACATTGCCTGCTGTCACAGAGCTTGCAATCTGGTGGGGATATGGGTAACTAGGTGTTCAATGAAAGGAATGCTAATGCTGTGACAGGAAAAGTACAGGTTCTTGGGAGTATGTGGGCTTGCATGGATCAGGGAAAGCTTCTGCAAGAGCAGTTGGTAAGCTGGCATCCCAGGGGTCTGCAGGAGTTTGCCAGGTAATTACATGCTGGTCAAGTTTGGCCATGTGTGGAGATTATCTAGGGTAGCAGGTAAATATGAGGGTTTGGAGCTAATGACATTTGTTTGGAGATGTGACCCTGGGTAAAGACATGCATATGGAAGTCAACAATCATAGAGAGGACGTTTGGAACTATTTGGGAGGTTGAGACTATATGCGCAGAGAGGATGAAGTGTGGGACTAGCATAGATCTTTGAGGAACACCAATTCCCTAAGATGAGAGTGTGGAGTCAACAAAGGAAGGAGAGAAGGAGGGGCAGAAAAGCAGAGGATGGTGGTGACAGGGAGACCAGACGAGCGTCAGACTTTAAAATGGCGGGTATAATAACAAGTATCTGATGCTTCGCACATGTCAGCCAAGGCTGCTTCACGTTGATCTCTAACCTCAGTAAGATGTAGCTTATTGGCAATATCTTATGACCTAATAAGTATCTTAAGAAATTAATCTCAATTTTCAAGATATTTTTTTCCTCTCATTTGTTTTAAGCAAGGGTCTTAGAAGACCCTTAAGGCTTCATAGATAAAGCATTCAGCTTTATATATTTAATCAGGATTTTTCATTGGAGAGTTTTATTCACTACTTGAAAATGTCATTTTTTATGGATAAATTGCATAAAAATTTGTAATCTGCATCAAAATGCTTTTAATTTCAGCATGATGTAAATTTAATATATTACTTTCTACTTAATATTGATAAATATCTTCAGTGCCAATGCACTGACTGCATTTTGTTTTGATGTCCCCTAGAGATCCATGGGTATTTGCAATCTAGTGTTTGGTACATCTGTGAGAATATTGCATTTGCTCGTAGAATTTAAAAATGTGTTTGTATGCTTTGCACAATACTTAAAAAGATGATCCTATTTTAACTCACAGAGGTAGAATTTTTGCATAACAAAATTATGAGCTCAGTAAGGCACAAATATGGCATTATATCAATATCTTCTGGGGACTTCCCTGGCGGTCCAGTGGTTAAGACTTCTCCTTCCAATGTAGGGGGCGTGAGTTCGATCCCTCGTTGGGGAGCTAAGATCCCACATGCTTCAGGGCCACAAAACCAAAACATAAAAAAAAAAACCAGAAGCAATATTGTAACAAATTCAATAAAGACTTAAAAATGGACCACATCAAAAAAAATCTTAAAAAAACATGTGTCTTTTGAGTGGACATGAAATAATGGCTTTTACTCCTTTGTGCATACCTGTCACAATAACAACTATCATTGCTATGTTTAATATGTCCCTGGTGCTTAAAATAATCTGCTCACTTAAGATAAGTTTATGACTTGTTATATTCTCATGATATAGAGCATATAACATGCGATGGTATGTTGAATGGAATATAGTAGTCTCATTATCCCTATTCTAAAGCTGAGAAAACTGTACTGTAGGAAAAAGAAAACAATTGCCCTAAATCATGCATAAAGCCAAAGGAAGATAAGGAGATGCCGAGCTAACAAATTTACTGGTCACCTGAGAAGACAAGAGTAACCCACAAGAGAAGATGCAGCAAAACTGTCATTTTCAAACACTTTTACTGACACAACTATGTTCAGCTTATTACACTTATCACTTTTATTAACAACTCTGAGGACCAATGATGTCCCTAACAGTGTGCAGGTTACTGGGTGGGAATAAGAAGTGTAGCTGGAGAGTGAGCTGAGTGCTACGGTACCTGATGTAGATGGAGATCTCTTTCCTAAGCCTGATAAGACTATGCAGTTCCACTCCCAGGTTTGCTAAGATCCTATACTGCTCTGCCTCCCCTTTGGCCTCCTCTTGTCCCTGCTTGCTCAACCACAAACATGGCCAGGAGTTCTGCATCCCTGCTGCTCCAGTGCCTGTCCCATGAGAAAGGAAAGGCGAAAAGTCCTCAGCTGTACACTTTCATTAAGGCTAAATTGAGAACTGGGGAGCTGAGCTGCTTTGCCCAGCCTTCATCAGGACGCAAGAAGGCCTTGGAGTTAGAAGAAAGTTATTCTCCATCAAAATATTTGGGGTCCTCTGGTTTGTTCCATTTCCTTCTGAACTTGAGACCTCAGGAATGCCAAATTCCAGTGCTGTTTTGGGGAATATGTGAAGTTTCTTGTCTCTGTTCCTAGAGGCTGATTGGGACATTTGGGAATCTATGTGCCTGTGTAACCCAAAACATTCCAACCCACGGCTGTTTACAGATCAGTATCATGATGGAGAAGGGGAAGGACTGGGAAGTCCAGTTCCTGAGACTCGTTCTTTAATGGATTTTCTCAATTTGTAAAGCCCCTCAGCATTTGTCAAATTCCTATGCTTTTGTATTTGCTTTGTGAAGGGCTGTATTCATCATGACACAAATGAAGGTGGCTGAGATGGTAGAGGGTGTGCAAGGCCACTGTCAGACTCTCTCCCTAACCTTCCTCTGCCTCAAACACTCAAAGTCAGCTCTCAGTCAGAACTGGAGAACCTCTTCCTTTCCCTAAACCCAGTTCCTGGGCTACTGCATCCTTCCCCCAAATGCAGCAGAGACAAAAGAAAACACTCTTTTTTAGAAGAAACGATTTACTTGTGAAGAATGAACTTTGCTGTTTTTGAGAGAGACCATTTTGTTTTCAGAAGATGCCTTACCCCAAGGCTTCCTTCCATAATCTGTTCCCAGTGGGACTCCCTCGTGTCAACCTCTTGCTGGACTAGGACCCTGGAATTCCACAGGGCCAGCTAGCAAGAGGGATGCCTGAGATGACAGAAGATATGAATCACCTTTCTGAAGAGAGGGTGGGGCTGGTGTCACATGAGTGCCTTTCAGGTGAGCTCTGCAAACCAAAAATAGGAGCCTGGGTGTGTCTAGGGAGAGTGGAAGCAAAGAGAGAGTGGAACATGCTGAGCAGACTGTTCTACTGGGAAGAGATTCTTTCAAGATTAATGCCCAGGAAGTAGAATTCGAGGTCAGAGGTTCAATGACACTAATAGTAAGGTCCATGTGTGTAGAGCGGTGTCATTTCAAAGCTCTTTCACACACATTGCCCCAGGCAATCATCACAACAATCCTGGGACTCTCCCAGACACAGACTATGAAACTTAGGGAGGTTAAGTTGTCTAAGTCATTACCCAAAATTTTGCCCCCAAAACAGTCATTGTTCCACCACGTCTCACACTGTCACTTGATGGGTAAGCGCCATGGCCCAGCTTTCACATGGACGAGCAGAGCCTGGGTTAGAAGTGTCCCAGGTCCTGACTTCTTTGCTTTCTAGCTCTGAGTCTCTCCTCTGGGGGGGCCATTATTTTCTGAGAGTACAGGCTCTAGGAGGTGACATTGCCAGCAATTATAGACCTGGGACTGTATGGAGAAGAGAACTAAGATCAAACCCGGGAGAGCCCAGGATTAGAGAGCAGAACCTTACCTTTCATAGCTCCTGCTTTTTTCTTCCTGCTTCTGCGTTGCTGCTGAAAGCCCCCAAAATGAAAGAGTTCACAAGCTATTTTGTGCCTTTCTCATACTAAAGAAGCAACAAACATTATTAATGAAAAATGTGACTTTTTACATTATTTGAGGTCTCTGTTATGTCCATATTATTCATTTTTAAAGTAGATCCAAGTATTTTCTACTGATCCTTCTTTCTCAAAGAATTTTTACTAATTCCCAGAATATCTTTCAGAAGTAGAATACACAAGGACTTCCCTGGTGGCAGAGTGGTTAAGAATCCGCCTGCCAATGCAGGGGACACGAGTTCAAGCCGTGGTCCGGGAAGATCCCACAAGCCGCGGAGCAACTAAGCCAGTGTGCCACAACTACTGAAGCCCGCGTGCCTAGAGTCCATGCTTCGTGACAAGAGAAGCCACCGCAATGAGAAGCCTGCGCACCGCAAGGAACAGTAGCCCCCACTCGCCGCAACAAAGAACCAATGCAGCCAAAAATAAAATGTAAATAAATAAATAAATTTATTGTTTTGAAAAAAAAGCAGTGTAATACACAGAAA